TTTCTGAATGTGTCGTTAATGTACTGGGGGGGGGAGAGGAACAACAACTGAATGTCTCTTCATTTCCCTCCCCCCCCCCATTTCAAGCTGCATCAATTTTAGGCTTTAGAAAATGTCCCAGGCTTAGTAGCCAAGTACAGATGTCCAGATAAAATGGTTTTAGTGACCTATTTATTTCAAGGACAAAACTATCTTATGTCGATCATGTCATTCGGAGACCTATGGAGGTTTCTCTCCCTTCCAAAGTCAGCCTGGGAGTTCACTTTAGACAAGGTTTCCTACCTTGTCCAATCATATATCCTAAACTTTGCACTGAAACACTGGTTGCGTTTTATAAGGGTTGTGTATTTTAGCTCCTCCTCGTGAGGCCTCTGCTCCACTGCAAATTTAAATCACGGTTTATGCAGAATAAAGGCTCAGAAAATTCAGTGGGGTAGCCAAGGAGAGAATTTCAGCTTACACAATCCTGAACTAAAGAAGTTGGCCATAATAAATGAATGCCTTTAGGTTGACAAACTTTACCATTTTTGAACCACAAAATCTGGTTCATGGGTTGTGTTTACTGGCTGGGCTGAGACATTGGTCAGTCTGAAGAATCAGCCTGGGCATCAGGAATGAGTAAATGTCTAAAACTAGAAGATTAAATGAAAAGGGACAGAGGGAGGGAGGGAGGGATGGAGGGAGGAAGGAAGGAAGGAAGGAAGGAAGGAAGGAAGGAAGGAAGGAAGGAAACTAAAAGAGTAAAAGGGAGCTTTCTCAAATTTGTCCTTCCTCTTTTTGACATCCAGAGGACTAGCCTCTTGTAATTGTAAGCCATGAAACTGTCCTTGGAGAATCACCATCCCAGGACACCCCAATGGCGATCCAAGCAGCTCATCCAGGCTAATTTTGTTTGCTTTCAAATTCATCCGGTTTTAGAAAAGGCGGGCAAGGCATTAATTGCTCTGCTTTGAAGGACCGGGGAATATTGGATATAATGCCCGTTTGGACAGACACCAGCTGGTCCTCAGCCGTCCTGAGTTTGGAGGAAGGTCTCTAGGGAAAAAGAGCAGTTCTAGTGGGAAGCGCTAAGGGCACATTTCATCCTAATGGTGAGGGCAGCTCCTATCATTGTTTTAAACGACCGCGAAACAGCCCTTTAGAGGTCTCTCCTCGTCCTCTGCCTTCTCAGTTTCTTGGTTCCCACCCTAAGGGACCCTCCAGCTAAACAAGCCGGCCCCTCTCAGCCAAAGGGGCCTGGGCGACCAAGGCGTCGCGGCCCCCGGCCTTCGCTCTGGGCTCTCCGGAGGCAACAGCCCCGGGTTAGCTTCTGGACTCAGGCTCACCTTCTTTCTCCCGGGGGGGGGGTACAGGCCCAGAAGCTCGCCTCGAAGTCACGGAGGCCGGTTGAAACCGGCTCTTCTTCGGTACTGCGGGAACTCGGGAAAGCGCGGTCGGGGCGCAGCGCCCTAGCCAGGTTTTCGCCAAGAGCGCGCGCGGGAAGACGGAGCTCGGGAACCGGACAGCTCTCCAAGGCGCCCTTCGGCTTTTGCGCTCGGCTTACGCCGGGCCGTGGCCGTGGCCGAGGCCGAGCCTGGCCCCCGCCACGTCCACTTGAGTTGCGTAATTGCGGCAGGTGCGTAATTGCGCGTGCCCGCAAACTTCAACGGCGGACGCCCCTCCAGAATGTCTCGACGGCTTCCAGTTTTGTAGGGGCAGCTTAGGTCAAGACGGGGGAAGCAGAACGACGCTCCCCAAGTCGGTCGAATGCTTAGAAGGCGCTCCTTTTGCCCAGGAAAAATGCCCCATTTTGCTCCCCGGGGGGGGGATGGCGTTTTCTATTTTGGGGGTGGCTTAATTGGAGGGGCCTGCCGACCGTCATGACCGCGGGATGTCCGGGGATCACGGCAACCTGGCCTTGGGGTGGACAATGGAATCATCCCCCTAGCCCTCTTGAAGGTCGGGGGGGGGGATGGAAACCCCAAGAACAAAGGAGAGCAGGTCGGGTGGCGATTGTCTTAAAGGCCTTCTGGAATGCAGGCTGCCTCCGCTTGAGGTGAACTGGGCTGGCTAGTCTGCCGTTGGGCGGGGGCGTCGTGCGAACAGATTCCTAAAGGTGGGAAAGGAAGGGCGATTTCTTTAAAAGGGATGAAGAGGAGAGCAGAAAGAAAAAGATAAAGTAAAGCAGGAGCAAAAGAAGGGAAGACGGGAAATGAGAAAGGGAAAAAGAAGGGAGAAAGGAAGGAGACAACAGGGAGATAAAGGAAAAAGAAGAAAAGGAAGGAAGATAAGACGGAAGAAGGAAGGAGAGAGAAGGAAAAACGGGAAAAGGGAAGGAAGGAAGGAAAGAGAGAAGGCAAAAAGACAAGAAAGCGCAGGAAGGGAGAACGAAGAAAGGAAGGAGAGAAACGGAAAAACGGGATGAAGGGAAGAAGGAGAAAAAGGAATAAAGAAGGAAGGGAAGGAAACGGGAAAGCCAGAAAGGAAAAAAAGAAGGAGGAGGAAGACTTTTTCAGAGGGGGCCGAAGGCGAGCCCCTTCCTCCCCACCCCACAAAAAAAAAAGCCACCGGTCGGGGAAGGGGGCGCTTCTCTATCTTCCCCGCCAGCGAGCGGGCGAAGCCGCCACCGCGTCGCCTTTCTACCCCGGCGAAGCTCACCAGGTAGCAGCCCAAAACCGGAGGCTGCGACTGCCAGGGGCCGGGGCCACGCACCAGCTCGGCTTCTCCCCCCGTCCGTTCCCTCCGCGAGGCGAATCCGCGTGGATTGCAAACCCAGGGGAGTTTTTTGGGTGGGGGGGGGATCCTCCGTGGTCTCGGAGCTCGGTTGTTTTACTGCAGACGTTTCAGGACCAAACTCAAGATATTCCCCCCCCCCAATACAGTTTTACTCAAAGGGGGGGGAGAGACTTTTAATAACCGTCCCCTCCCCACCCCTTCCTTTCCAGTTCCCGCTTCAGAGTTTTGGGGAGTTTAGAAAGCAATTTCCGAAAGTTTGTTCAAACCGGATCGGACTGGAACTGAAAGCCACGCTTTGAGTCCTCGTCGAATCCGGATTAAGGGAGGCGCCGTCCCCGATCTCGTTCGTTAAAAGGGGGGGGGCGATTCGTGAACCGAATAATAATAATAAATAATAATAGTAATAATATTAATAATAATAGCAATAGCAATAATATTAATAATAGTAGTAATAGTAATAATAATAATAATAAGTCTTTAATCGCTGCGAGGCTCAGTCCCGATTTAGGCTGACCGGAAAAAGAGGCGCCCTTTAAACAGAATAAAGATGGAAAAGAAAGAACTTAAAAATCTAAGTTATCAACAAACACCACAGTGAAACAGGGGTGCGTGATTTGTTGTTGTTTTTAAAAAAAGGTTTTGTCTCGCCAGCGATATTGGGAGAATGGATTCCAGCTTGGGGAAATGGATTCCAGAGAATCTATCTTGACTGCCAAACTTTTTAGTTTGAGAAACACACACACACACACAAACACACACAGCTCCGATAACTTTAGTCGCAGGCCATTTGCGTTTACTTTGGAGAAGGCCCACCCGTCCTAAACAAATCAAAACCTTCCTTTAGACCCCCACTCCATTTTTTTCAGGACCATATTCAGGAAAGATGTGGGTTTTTTTTCCTTCAAATATATATATATATATATATATAAATCCCTGAAAACCTCCTTCTATTACACAACTTTTCCTTGGGAATCTTTTTCCCCCTCCAAATGCATTTGCATGCAAGCTAAAATTATGATGATTAATTGCTCCTTTGAGAGGTGTGTTTGTGCTGGTTTCTCCCCTGCCCTTTACAACGTTTAGCAGCTTCTACCCAAACTGCCTAGGCGAGCCTGCAAGGGTCGAAACACCAGCCTAAAAATAAAACAAAAAATAACCTCTTCCTTTGCAGAATCCCCCTATTTTTTTTGAAAAGAAGGACCGTGACAAAATTGAGAAACGGATTTCAACTGCAGATATAAATTTCCCCCACAAGTGGATACAAGGGGAAAGTTTTATATACCTTGCTTTCATATATATATATATATATATATATATATATATATATATATATATATATATATATATATATATATATATAAAAGGAATATTTGTATTTGTTTATCTATATTTCCTATTTCTAAACCACTTATCTCCTTCAGAGATTTGGGCTGCTTCATGGAAGGAAGCAGAGATCCATTTCAAACTACAGCCACTCAAAGAAAATTGAGGATTTCAAACAGAAAAAATAGGGAACGGAATGGCACTGCGATAAACCCGATAAACCCATCCCTTTGAGAAATAATACAAATAAACCCAAGTGGAGGCAAGTTGCTCAGAGAGGATTTTAGTAGGAAGTGACCCAAATCTGCAAGCAACGCCACAGAAGAGCCACTCAAGTTGGGTCAGAGAGGGCGACACAAGGACAAAGACACCCAGCCTCTATTCACCTGGGAACACTTAATAAGCTTGAGAATACTTAATAAATCCCACCATGTATGTCACCAGGGACCCAGTTTTATTCCCCAGCCATCTCCCCCAAATCCACTTGGGGTGAAGTCAAACCATTTCATGGATCCAACCTCCAATATCTACCCCAAACACCCTCGGCAAACTTTTTTCAAATTGCACACAACACGGAGTAGCTCAAAGAGGAGGGGAAGATAAAGGAAAGAGAGAGATCCGTGGATGGGGGAAACCAATTCAGCCCCAGGATAGTGAGAGAGAGAAAATCAAGAGACCAGGTCCCTCTACAGCAACAAAATGGAACCTTCCACTGGATGACGCAACAATGGGTTCTAAAGCAAAGGGGCGGAGCTACCGCTCTTGGATCCCAAAAGCTGGGCTTATTCTCTTGGAAATCCTCCTCAGTTTTTGGACTTGGCTGCTTTATGCCTCTCCCCCTGTCCCGTTCCACCAGGATATAGTTATAAATGAGATCAAACTTGGGATTGAGCAAGGAAGGCAGCGGTGAAGAATTCCAGTGGCTAAAAAAAGAAAAGTAAACATAAGGGTAGAGCTCTTACTGTTGGTAGTCTTGCTTGCAGTAAAGCTTCCGGTCTCGGAAGTAGCAGCTGGTGGTTAGCGCCTGTTGGCAGACGGCGCATTGCAAGCATTCTTCGTGCCATGAGGATTCGTTGACACGCATCAGGAAGCGGTCCGAGATGGGACGCTGGCACCCCTCACAAACTGCCTGGTGTTGACAATCGGACCCTGAAGGAGGGAAGGGAAACAGCAAAGGGGCAAAGAGAGACAGAGAGAGAGAAAAAAAAAGTATGAAAAAAAGAGACAAGGCAAAATCACACACACAAAAAAAGCACAAATCCACAGGGTTGTGTTTTAAGAAGGGTTGGTTCATCCAGGGGCCTAGGGTGGCCTTGAAACGCCTGCATGGAACGATCCTTCTTAATTCCCGCTCAAGATCTAGAATTGCACCAGTTATATTTTTTGTTATTTTAAGGCTTCCTTCCTACAATCACCTATTTATTATTCGCCGTGAGCTTTGGTGAACCAAAACGAAGCTGAGCTGGAGGAAAGAAGGCTGAAATGGTTCATGTTCCTCCTAATTCAATAGTGTATAAATTTAATAAATAATTAAAAAAAAAAAAACCAACCACCCCAATTTGGTAACATGATTAAGACGTGGGTAGCCTAATGGTGGGGAAGGAGAAGGAGAAGAAATAAGGAGAAGGAGAAGGGCCTTCTTAATGCCATCAGCTCCAGGTGGAAAGGCTGCAGTTCAGTATGTATAGATATATAGATATGAGAGAGAGAGAGGAAAGCCTAGCCTGGCAAATCAAAACAAATGAGGGAGCTTCAGAGCAGTTGGCTGGATTGACAGCCTACAAATCTCCTTTTTGAAGAAGTTTAGTTTCTCTCGGAATTTGGCACGCAGTTGTCACTGGGGAAGTGGGTGGAAAACGCTGTATAGTTTTAAGGGAAAGTTGTCTTAAGGAGAGGCCGCGTTCGTTGACAGCAGCTGGAAGGTTTAACTTGGCCAGGTTAGGACCCACACGGGGAGGGAACCAGCTGGGGGAGGGGGGAAAGAAGAGTTGCAGTGGGGATTGAGGCCCGATTGAAGCAGGGGCGTCAGGGAGAACCAGGGTTAAACTCGGAGAGGTTGTCAGAAGAGGTTTGCCAAGGAAAAAGTGAGCGCATCGCGTCTTCCGGAAGAGACGCGAAAGGAAAGCAGACTTTCTCGGCCAGAAGTTCAAGATCATAAATCAGTTCACCGCGAGAAGTGTCGGAGAGGCGCACAACACACCCAGGGAGAGACAAACACACAAACACGCTGCCCATTCGAATTCAGGGCTCTCCCACGAGATAGCGCCTGAGCTGAGCGCTTCATCCCGTCCTGCAGGAGTCACTCCTACATAGGAGTTTAACAAGCGTGCCAAACAACCGAATTCTCTGGGAATGCGGAGAGGGTCAACGCGGGTGCCCCTTCTGACGTGCAAGCAGCCCGAGAAAACGCAGCTTGTTTTTTGTTTGTTTGTTTTTTAACCGTCCTCGCCAAGGAAGGTAAAGCCCAGCGATTCGGGTTCAAAAGTTGGACCAACGCGAAACGCAGCCGGGTGATCAGTACCAGCTTTTAAAAGCAGCCGGTTTTCAGGAGGGAGAAGGCGTCCCCCCTCCAAAACGAGGGCGGTTTGGAGGGGAAATAACCGCAATGGGTTGGAAGCTGGATAAAATAAGTTGCAAGGCCTCCGCTTGGACCCTTGGATCAACCCGGGAAGGGGGGAGAACAAAACCAAACCTACACTCCTGTATCCCTCTATCCGGAATGTAAGTAAAGGCCGGGCGCGCACTGGCGTGAAAGTGCTTCCTTCCAGCCTGCCCTGCCCTTTACGTGTGGATTCTCGGCCAGGGTAACCCGCCTCTCCTTCGCCCGGCTGCCAAGCATCTCTAAGCGCCACTCTTCGGCCCTGGAGACCGGAGAGAAGCGGGGAAAGGAGGGCGAGCGCCTGTGAGATACCCCCGCGCCCGGGATCGGGACCAAGGGCGGCGAGTTTTATTTCTGGAGTGGAGTGACGGGTGGCGAGAGAAAGAGATTTCAAGTCGCAGGAAAGTTGGGCGGGAAGCAGAGAGAAAGCGCGGAAGAGGCGAGCTCACCCAGTAGGACTCCCAAAGTCGCGGGCCCCGAGCGCAGCGGCCGATCCTCCATTTTAATCCCGTCCAGCATCTTGGCGCAATTCACCGAGCCGCGATTCAAGCAGTTTTCCAGCGCCTCCGGTCCCGCGGCCACGTCCATGGGGCGGAAGGCGGGCTACGGAGGGGAAGGCAGCGGCGCTTAGCGGCCGCCCCGGCTGGGATCCGGGCCGCGGAGCTGCGGGACGGTGCCGACGGCAAAGGCGAGCGGGGCGCAGCCTAGAGGCCGAAGCAGCCGGCCGTCCATCGGCGGGGCGGCCGGGGAGGTCACCTGCTGGCGGAAAGGCGCCTCCGAGGCCCCTCTCGGGGCGGAGGGGGCGGCCAGGCCCTCCCCGAAGCAGGGAGACGCCCGGCACTGCATGCACCCGCGAGCGCAAGCTGTCTCCTCTGGAGTTTCCCTCGGCCCAAATGCCATCCAAAACTCCCGAGCCGGGAGGCGCTCCGTTTACAAGCGGCGGAAAGCAGCTGCGGAGGAATACAGCCGCCCCGCCGCCGCCGCCTCACCTCCGCCTCCCCTCCTTTTCCCAAAAAGGCGGGGAGGGAAGGGGAGGGGGAAAGAGAGAGAGAGAAAGAGACAGAGAGAAAAGAAGAGGAGGAGGAGGAGGAGGAGGAGGAGGAGGGGAAAGAGGGAAAAAAAAAACTTGCTGACATTTGAACTCCCAATCGGTGTGCCTAATATCCCTACGCCGCAGTGAGGCGGTCCCTCGCCTGTCAAATAGTGCGTCCGCTTACGCGCAAAAAGAAAAAGAGAAAAAAAGAAAAAATGGGGACGGCCAAAAAAAAAAAAAAAAGTGAACGGAGGAAAGAAAGAGAAACGGAGCGAAAGGGATCCAGAAATAAAGCAGGGAGGAGAGCAAGGGGGGGGGAGAGAGACGAGGCAAGCCCCCTCCCTCGAGGGGCAGTCAGCCGTGACAAAAGGAACCCTCGGCCAGGTGGAGAACAGAAGATTTTCGGCAGGTAAGCCGTCCCGAGACGCCAAAGAACGGGGTAGGCGCTGCGGGTAGGCAGGCAGGCAGCGGGAAGCAGGAAAACGGGGAAAGGAAAGCTTGAAAAAGAGAGAGAAAGAGACGTTTACAGCGGGGCTGTTTTAAAATTCATAATTTGGGTAAGGCGAGGGGGGAGATTTGCAAAGGGGAGGGATAGTTACGGACTATCCAGCAAGAGTCTTGAGCTGAACAGAGCTGGGGGATGCGGAGAAGAAGGCAAGAAGGAAGAAAAAGGCTGCGTGGATCCGTGCCCCCCACCCCACCCCACCCTTCTGTCAAAGAGACCCCGCGCTCAAGTAGCCGCCTAAATTCCCAAGGAACAGCCGGCTCGCCTCCTCTGGCAGGTAGGCATCTCTGCTCCTCTTCATTTGGGGGGGGGGATATGCGCCCTTCCTGCCGGCCACTATCTGGAGGTTATGTCCAGGAAGGAAGAAAATTGGGGGGGTGTGTATCTCTGCTGGTTTGGGGAATCGTAAGAGAAAGCGCCTGGAGTGTTGCCAAAGGCGCGCCCTGGCTGGAGGTCTCTCCAACAGGGACTCGGGGTTAGGAAAACGTGGCGGTGCGGGGGTAGCTAGCCCCTCTCTTCTTCCTCCCCTCCCGCAAGACTCTTGCGTGATCTGGGGGATCCAGGAAGGAGGGGGGAGGTCTGGCTTGGCACCTGGCGAAGGGGGAAAAAAAAACCCTTGGAAACGCGCGCAGACGCCCAAACTCGGTCACTCTCGGCTGGATCAGCCTTCATGCCAAACCGCATTCTGCGCCCAGCATAAGGAATGGGGAACGTCTTACATCTCCCCCGAGTTTAAATCCCCCTCGCGGACGACCACCTCTGTTTTTCAGCCCTTGGAGCGAGCGATCCAGGCTTCCCTGCCACCCCAAAAGCGCACGAGCGCCCACCCTCTGCCGCGCAGGCCGCGAGGAGGAGCGCTGGGTCCGGCCAGGGCCAGACCCCCCCCCCGGCCAAGTTCTCCGCGTCTCTTCTGGTGCTTTGCGATGCTCAAGAGGGCCACAGCGTGGACCCTTCTTTGGCTGCGGTGGGGTGGGGCGAGAGGAGGGTGGGTGCCTGAAATTTTGAGTGGGCTGGAGGAGAAAAAGAAGGCCTATCCTGGAGTGATTGCCCTGATGTTTTTTTTTTTTTTTTTTTTAAATTCCGGTTCTGCTCCCTGGCGCGCGTAAAAACGCAAGCCCCGTTTGGTCGGGTTTTGGGCGAATGGGGACCCCGTTTGATAAAGACACATATAGGATTACTTCCTATTCTTCTGGGCCTGCTTCGTGAACGCCGAGCGTGCTCGGCTTCTGAGCTGCAGGTAGAACCCAAAACGCCCAGCCAGAGACAGGCCTCAAAAAAAGGAGCGGGGATCGCCCCCCCCCCTTTCCCGCAACGTTAACTGGAATTTAAGTTTTATTTCCATCCTGAAAACGTTGTTTAAAGTCTTTACTTAACTGCCCGGTGGAATCTTGACTTGATTTACTTAACTGCCGGTGAATATTTCGGCTCTTTGATTCTCAACGAGAGATACATTTTAATGGTTGGCTCTCTCTTTGGGGCTGGGCGGGGCGAGGCGGGGAGGATTAAGAAATGGCAAGTCCCTATTTTGTACTGCTGGCCAGGATGAGTCTGGATCCAAATTCATCCCGCCTTCGTGTAGACCCATTGGGAATCAGTGAGAATAAGTGGGTTTTAAGCCTTTCTTGGAGCTGAATCAAGATAATAAGATTAAGTCTGTTTGCAAGCTTGCACTGTGTCTACACACTGTATTACAGAGCGTTCCTACAATTTATTAATTGGGATGTCTTCCGAGCACATCTGGTGACAGTGGTTTTCCAAGCAGGGCATTGATTAACTTTTACAAAATAGCAAGGCGAAATGGCAAGCTAAAAACTTTCGCCTTTCATGCCCAGCGCTTAACTTTCTGGTTTCTTAAAAAAAAAAAAAAAAAGGATTCTGAAAACAAGACTCATCTTTTGGGCCTCTCTCTCTCTCTCTCTCTCTCTCTCTCTCTCTCTCTCAGCCCAGCCCAGAGTATTATATATGTTCCTGGCCTTGAGTTATTTAAAAAAGAAATGATAAAGGCGGGATAAGGGGAAAAAAACGTATGAAATAACTTGTAAAAGATGGAATAAAATCAAAACCCTGTTGTTTTGGTTCCTTAAGCTTGGTTTCCTACGTTTATAATTATGTTTGGGAAGAGAGGAGAAGATGTTTTCGTTTTCCAAAAATACGAAGCGCAAAATGCTAAATGCCAGCTGCAGTAAAACATCTTTAGTTAGAGACATTATTTGCCTATCCAAACCTAATACACAAAAAGCGCGCAGGGGCCTTCCTTGGTTACTTGCATCGCTGGGGATCCAGAAATCTGTCACTTTGATAACTTTCCTTTGACATTACTTCTTCCCCCCCTCCCCCAGTTTAGAGAAACCGGAGTGGTTTTTTTTCCCCTGGCCAGTAAAAAAGCGATTTCTGCAGTCGGTGAGCGAAGAAAATCCGTGACGATTTTAATAATAAAGTGCTTTAAATTTTTGAGCTCGCAACTAAAAATCAACTTAACGTTTGGGGACCCCTTCCCCCCTCCAAAAAAGTTGAGTGGGTTGCTAAAAAGCGGTTCAGCCCGAAATTAAAATCCAAGGTCACTTTTTCATCTAACCAAATTCAAGGTTTTCCCCTGAAACGAACGTTCTCTTTCCCCAGCTTATCCCGCGCTTCTACGGTAGTATCAGAGAGAATTTCCGACCAAGAATTGAACCATTCGAAAGACTGAAAAGTGCCCGGGATGTCACCGTCAAGACATCGAATAGACTGCGTTGAAGTCCGAGTGGCCGGGGAAAATTCGGGGAGCGCTTATTCGGAGAAATACGCCTTGTCCGGCCGCGCAAAACAAAACAAAACAAAACAAAAAAACCCTAATTCCCCCAGCCTCTACAAGGGACCAATCTCCCCCCATCCCGCGCGCGCACTAAATTTTTATTCTTTTAAGGATCTATTATTAATCAAATTTAAAAATCGCGTCTCCAGCTTTTGGAACAAATTCTAAACAAGCGTGAATAGGTGGGCGCAAGGAAATGGGAAGGGTCCCTATCTGGAAACTAGCACTCTACACTCATGAATCAGAAATTGGCAACGCGCGAGGAAGCGCCTGTCACTGGGGTAAAGTGAGCGCAACTCTGGAATTCACCACATTAGGCCTCATTGCCAGTTTATCTAGTCCAGATCTGGGCATTTTAAGACCCTTCCCCTCCCCCGGGCCCACATCCAGCCTTTTGGCTGTCCCTGTCCGGAGCCCGTGGATTTTTATTTTGAAAACTTTTTTTTTTAAATTTAGGCATGTACGTGAGTGCGTACTTAGCACCTTCATAGCCCTGCTGGTCTGACCCTCCGCAACAGTCCCAGTTTCTCGCGCGGCCTATTGGGAAAATGAATTGCCCACCCGGATCTCCAAGGAGCTCAACCTGTGGATAGCTGAACCAGCTTGGGCTCCGTTTCTCGGTCCTGGCAATCCGTCTCCAATCTGGAGTCGGTGCGGAGCGACTCCGGAGCGGACGCCACTTGTGAAACGGGCGGGCAAGAAATAAAAGAGAAGAGAAGAAAAGAAAAGAAAAGAAAAGAGAAGAGAAGAGAAGAGAAGAGAAGAGAAGAGAAGAGAAGAGAAGAGAAGAGACGCAGGGCGAGGAGATTGCGCGGAGAGGGGCAGATTCAGAACACAGCCGCTCCAGTCGTAAGCCCGAAAATCAACTTCGCCGCGATCGCTTCTCGTTTTGAACCCCGCGCTCAATGGATTGCCTTCCTGAACCCCAGTAGCTGCGTTCCCACGAAATGCTACTTGGCCACTTGGTTCCTGGCTTAACTCTCAAAACCCTCTGCGCCGCAGCTAAGGCAGCGAGCGGGCTTCTTCCTAGCCAGAAATTTAGCCACGATTAATGCTGAGGGAGTAACAAAGTGGCCTGGTTGGTTTAAGGAAGACGTGTGAAAGCAACCAAAGGGCGCGCGATGGGAAAGACAAGGATTATTTCAGGCAGAGAGATGTAAGCCCCCCCCCAAAAGAACCCAAGGGGGAAAAAATGCCCATATAGGAGGGGGGGGGGAAATAATCCGAGACATCGCTTACCTTGTCTTCGGACCAACGGCATTCACCCATCGGTAACATTCATCCGTCCAGGATCAAACTTAAATCGAGGACTTCGGAACCTCCCCCATTTCCCACTCGATGGATGCGGGGAGAGGGGGGGAAGCGAGTTTCGTTTTTCCTCCTTAAGCCCAAAGCTGCAGACCCGTGTAGAGCTCTAATGTGCGAATCGGCTTGCTCTCCTTTCCAAGATCGAAGACGGTCGCTGATGGGAACAAAATCGCCCTTGAGTTTCAAGGAAACCTTACTCCCGAGGAGAGCGAAAGTGAAAGCAGACAGAAAGGCAGGAGTCTCGGGTTAGCCTCCCCATTGCGCAAGGCAGGGCTCGCTAGAAGCCCTGGCTCTTAGAGATGGTTAATTTGACTCCATCCAGGATGAATCAAAGTTTGGCCACAGGTTGGCTCTAACCTGCGTTTTGATCCCCCTTTCCCCCCCCAATTCTCCCTGCTTGCGCAACCCTGGACTCCCCCCTCGCGATGGGGTCTGGATTCCCCGATTCGAATCCAAGCTGGATTTCCTAGTGGTCTCCCGTTCACCACCTGGCTGAAACTTCCGGTTCGCCCACCAAAAAACCGGAAGGGCTGCCAAATCTCGCTCAGTTCAATCTCTTTCCCTCCGCTATCCAAATTCAGAATAACAGAGTAATTCGTACCATCTTGGAAGTATTCCCCCCCCCCAGGGAATGATCCTAAATCAGCCGTTTTGACTGAGATTGGGATTATATTTCACCCCCGTGTTTTTTTTCAAAATGGTTTATTGAATAAGCTATCGTGTGCAAAGGAGAGTGGCCAGTATAATGAAGATGCGAGAGGTTTCATCCAAGCCAAATAGTAGCTTAGATCCTGCGGTAATCCCTGCCTGTGGAAAGGCAGAGGCACACCGAAAAATCCATCTAAATGGAGCTTATATAGTATCTTTAAAGCAGTAACAGTTTCAAAACATTCTGAGTTTTTTTCTTAAAAAAAACATCTATCTATCTATCTATCTATCTATCTATCTATCTATCTATCTATCTATCTATCTATCTATCTATCTACATGTGTGTATGTGTGGATAGATAGATAGATAGATAGATAGATAGATAGATAGATAGATAGATAGATAGATAGACAGACAGATAGATAGATAGAGCGAGCTATATGCTAAGAAAAATAATGTTCCTTTTGCTTCTCTCTCTCTTTTAAAATGTTTCAGAGGCCAAAGGCATCTTCCAGCCCTATTCCTTGCACCACGCAGGAGGCTTCCCTTTCTAAAAGCCCTAACTTGCCAGCCTTAGCCAGGAGAGCCTCCCCTAATTGGTCATCTAAATCCCAAGGTGTGGACCATCATCCCCATATCCCTAGGCTATATTGGCCAAGCCAGATGGGTGTGGTGATTCACATCACAGAGTACCAGGTTGAGAAATGTTGCAAGCACCTTCCTCTCTTGTTTACCCAGGGATTAAAGCAGAAAGTTGAAGCTTTCACTTGTAGGGAGACAGATTGGGTTGGGTCTGCCCAACCACAGACAAACCCAAGATGGACAGAACCATAGTTTACTGAATTAACTTTCTCCCAGCCCTGTAAGCAACTGGAGACAAGACCTATGGACAGCTTGGGATGTGACTTATTGCCACAGGGTAAAATCTGGGTAAACTCTCAGCCTTTTCACTTCGTTGAAGCCTCCTCCGTTTCTAAGCCAAGACAGAAAGCAGGTTGATCCAGTTACATGAGCTTCAGCCGAATCCTAAATGAAAGACACAACACTGCCAGGCCGAAGTGAGGTGGGCTGGTGTACAGCCCAGGGTGTGGTGCACAC